CTGAGGGGGTCGGCGCTGTTGGAGTGCATGGCCGCCGCGATCTTGCTCTCCAGCGTCCTCACGGGCGGCACCGGGGGCGCGAAGCCGTAGGAGGGGTGGGACGGGACGGACTCGGAGCGCAGGTGCAGCGGGGGGGCCCTTGTGGGCTCCCGGGGCTTCTCCATGTGGCTCTGGGGGCCCCCGGGCACCGAGGAGGAGCCGCGGGCGCTGGAATTGCTCTCTGAGACAAAGCCAGGCTCCGGGGGCTTCTCAGGGGCAGTGGTGCTCCACACCTGCAGGGAGGAAAGCAGCAGAAGTCAGGGACAGGCAGCTTTCCCCCCTCCTGTTCAGCAGTTAAAATATCACAGACACTCGTATGGGTCAGCCCAATTTCAGTGCTTCTGTGCCTGGTTCCCACTGGCTGTGGAAGGAGAGATGTGCAGGTTCCCTCTCTCAGCGAGGGCAGCGCAGTGCCACCAGCAGTTTGGATCCATCACAACTGGTGTGTTCTGCAAATGCCAAAGCACAGGAACGGGAGGAGGTGGTTGCCTCTTTACCCACTGCTCCCAGTGTTTTGTTACATGCTCTGATTTTAAATGTATCACCTTAATGAAAATGTACCTGGGTTTGGCCTCCTCAGGCTCTTGGGAGCAGACCACACCATGTAACAGAGCAGCAATTCCTGCCCTAAATGTGCCTACAGAGCTTAGGCCAGGCTGAAGCTGGACACACTTCATGGGCTGAGGTGCTTTGGATTTCTGAGGGAACACTGCACAAGGAACCCCTGCACAAGGAATATGACCTGCTCTGTTAAACAGAATAACTGAGGCTGGAAAAGACCTCAGAAATCATCAAGTTCAATCTTTGACCAACCCCCACCTTGTCCCCCAGCCCAGAGCACTGAGTGCCATGTCCAGTCCTTCCTTGGACACCGCCAGGGATTGGGACTCCACCACCTCCCTGGGCAGCCCCTTTCACCTCCTAGTCACCCCTTCCGTGAAGAACTTCCTCCTAATGTCCAACCTAAGCTGCACGAGGGAAGGTCTAAGACTATGTCCTCTTGTGCTATCACTAGTTGGACAAGATCCTACACAGGATGCTGGAAGAGGATATTGTCAGAGGATGCAAAAATCTGTTTCTGAGCACATCAGTCACCACTGCAGATACTTTTTCTCCTTCAAACCAAGGAGAGTGGGTATACTGGGATGCCCACTTAGGAAAGCAGCACAGGATTTCCTCCAAGGCTGTGTCTGCATTGTACCCACATCCCTTCCAGCAACCTGTGAACCCCCCCTTGCTGGGGGCCCGACTTTCCCAGAGCTCCCTCCCTGCAGTTACAGCCCAGCTGCGCCCGGACCAGGATGTACCTGAGCAGAGCTGCTCGGAGCTTTGCTGGAGGATGCTGGCACTTGTCCCGTGGCTGCCTGGTGGTCCTGCCTCTGCGCCGGGGTGGGCTGGGTGGCCGTGGCTGTGCGTGGCACGGCTGGGACGGTGCCATCCCCCTGCGAGGGCTCGGCGGCTGCGCTGGGGATGGTGGTTAAATACGGCACCGGGGCGCCTTTGTCCCCGGCAGGGGCCACGAGAGGAGACGGCAGTTTGTCCTCGGCCGTGCAGGTGGGAGTGTGGAGCTTGTCCCCAGACAGGCATGCCCGGAGCTGGGGTCTGTCCACAGCCGGCTCTGGGGCGGGCGGCTCCCGCTCTGGGGCGTGGTGGGCCGTGTGCTCCCAGTCCCCCGCGCGCACGGGGAAGTGTTCACTGTCCCCCGCCTTGCCAGGATGGAAGCTGGCCTGCTCCTGCTCTGCATCTCTGCTCCCAGGCATGTCCCCAGGCATGCCCGTGTGGAGAGGCGGGGGGTCCTGGCCTCCAGGTGTACCGGGTGGGTGGTTCTGCTCCCCGGCTGTGCCGCTACCTTGGAATTCCTGCTCTACGGGAGCACCGGTCTGGAAGTGGAGTCGGTTCTCGGGCAGACCGGTGTACAGGTGGAGCTTGTCTGGAGCACCAGTAGAGAGATGGAGCTTTTCTAGAGCTGTGCCAGCTTCAGCCTCTCCATAATTTGTGCTTTCAGCATGAGCATCTCCTGGCCTTTTGAGGGACTGGGCGGATGCTTGCTGTGCGGACTCGGCTAACGCTAGGGCCAGCATGCGCGCTGCGTTTTTCGGAGGAGGAGGAGGGATAAGAGACACAGAACTGACGGGAACAGGATCCTGGGGGGAGTCGAGGGCAACTGCTCCTAATGGGGGAAAATTGAGAGAGAGAGTGATTTTATGTTACCCAATAAGGAGAGTGACCTTAACCTTAAAGACTATCATAAAAAAATAGATGCTCTCCACACTTTCACAGTGGCAGTTCCTTCTGGTGTGAAACACTTGTGTCTCACATGCAAACGCTGCTCAACAGCACAGCAGTTCATCAGAAAGAGGAAAAAAACACAAGAGATTGTCTAAAGGCTCCTCTTGCATTCTAGAGAGGTAGGGAGGAGGTAGCAGAGACTGAGATACCCTTAAACAATTTTGATCATAAGGTTTTAGGCGAAAAGGTCCCTTCTTCCAGTGTTGGCAGATTTTTAATTTAAAAAAGAAAAGCCTTAGATGGTCAATTGGCTGAAATGATCGAGAAGGACATGCCAGAGATTTTCACGCATGACAGGATGGGGAAAAAAAAAGTGGCATATAAAGCATTATGGAAAATTATCCAAGATTTGTGTGATGTAGGGAGAAGGCAGAGGTTAAGACCCTATTGATCTGCACAGCCCTGCAAGACACTCGTGATCAGAACTGACGGGCAAATCCCCTCTCCTAAAAGGCACGCAGAGGAGGGCGGTTCTGAGAGCAGGTCCCCTCGGGAACTTAAAGAAAGAATGGAGGAAAATGCACTGTACCTGGCTGTGTGTGTCCAGTGGGTACAGTCTTAGTCTGACTGCTTGGCATGGGTCTCTCCCCTTCTTCTGGCAGCTCTGGCTTGCCAGCAGCCACTAGCTGGGAATGCTGCAGCTCTTGGTGGGCTCCTTCCCCTGCTCCTGTTTCACTGCTTTTCAGGGGCAAGGACATCTGGGTTGGGGACCTGTTTGTGATCTCAGTGATGCCAATGCCTTTGCTCCAGCTGGAAGCAGAGGAGTTCCTGGATGTGATGGGCACTGCTCCGATGGCTTCTGGCCCACGGTTGGGCAGGGCAAAGCAGGTGGGCTCTGCAGTCAGTGGTGGAGATTTGATGGGCTTTCGGCCCGTCTTGGGTGAGAAGGTGAGGGGTTTGCAGGGCTGCTCCTCCGTGGGGCTCAGGTCCAGCGTAAAGAAGGGACTCATCTTCTCCTGGAAAGGGGAGACTGGCTCAGAGCTCGTGGCACTGCCCGGGGTCTGGGACTGGCTGCCCGATTCTAAATCCTTCTTTAGCAGGCTTGGTTTGTCCCTATTGATGTCAACCGACTCCAGCAGGGAGGTGCTGCTGTCCAGGCACTCGGACTCTGCCTGGGGGGGGCTGCACTGGAAGGACATGGGGTCAAAGTCCAGGCTGGCGACTCCGATGTCCGGGGGGCTCAGGTCGACGTCCTCGGAGGAGCGGGGGGAGATGAGGGCAGGGACGTGGATGAGCCCCTCGTCCCCGTCGCTGTCGTCGTGGGGAAGGTTGTCGTAGGAGTTGCAGCGGTTCATGCTCCCCAGGAGCTCCCCATTGAAGGAAGCAGAGAGGGCATCGCTGCTGGACCTGGGTCTTCGGGGTCGGAACAGTTTGGATTCACCTGGGAACGAGGAGATACCAGTGGGTTAGGGACAAAATCCTGCTGTCCGGGAGGCCAGGGCCTGGTGGGGGTGTTAAAGCTCAGCTGGTGAGCCCTGCACACAGAAGTGACATTGTTGCAGTAACCGTTTATCACGTTTGTTTAAACTCTTTTACAGCAGTTCCAGGTCTGATTTAGTTGAAACTAAGCTGTGTGTACAAGCAAAACCAGTTTAAATGTGCTGTAGGCCTAAGGCTTTCTCAGAGAGCATTTTCCTTCATGATGATGCCTTGTCAGCCTTGGAATAGAAAGGGGAGGTGGCAAGGCAGGAACATAGGCAGTGCCAGCTACACCAAAGCAAGAGGTTTGGGTTTTTTTACCTTAGAAGGAAAAAAAGGCATGAAGAGCATTTCTGTGACACCCATCTGTGCTGGGCAGCTTTGTTAATTAGCAAGTCCACCTTTCCCTGAAGAGGTGAAAAAGCTGCCCTGTGGCATATCTGTGCCCAGGAATGTCAGCCTGCCTTCTTTAATCCACGTTTATTAGAAGTGCAGGTGGGATTGTGCCTTACCATCCACGGCGTGCAGAGAGGTGAGAGACTCCTCACTCTTAGCCGAGCGCAGGGTCCCGCTGTCTCCTCGTCCACCTGAGGGAAGGAATCCACACAGGGAAAGGCTGAGTTGTGACAGTGCTTTATATCTGGCTGTGTAATGATGGCAGGAAAAACACACACAGGTTTCCAGCAACACTGTCCTGAGAGTAGTTTTGTTTTGGGGACGGGTTTCTGATGCTCATTTTAGAGTCCTGGGGAAGGTGACCCACTCAAATGGTACCTGCTGTAGGTGACAGGTCAGGAAACATCTCTCCACATCATCCTCCTACAGACTCGGGAGGTACCTGTGGTAACTGGCTGGTTCCTGCCAGCAAGGAAAACCCCTCAAAAATGGGGAAGAAAACATTTTCACGACTTGTTTTATGGGCACTGAACAAGCACAACTTCAGTCTCCAAGGAGACAGTCTCAAAGGGCATTTATGGTGTGTGAGGGTTATAATTTGAAAATGGGACCTGGGAGAAGATGGGATAAAAGTTCTCACTGGCCCACGTTTTGGAATTTGTGGTGTGTTTTACCTCAAAAACACACTGCTGCTATTTTTAAATTTGGAGGAAGGCAGAAAATTATATATGGAGAAGGCTGAGGATTCAGCCCACATATCCTGGCTGTGGCTACAAAGGGTTGTTGGATGTGTTCTCATTACGCTGGTAGAGAGAGTGTTTGTAGGAAGGTGCCTCCCTAATCTAATCTTCTGAGAGCAGCAAAGGGAGCCAGAGCTGTACTCTCATTTTATAATCAGAGTGTCAGAAGGAATTATTCTGAGACTTATTGCAGCAGCACCCACATATTGTCATTCCAAAGTCGCAGAGGTGTGAGCTCTGTCAGGCTCTGGAGCTGCCCGAGATCCATTCGGGAAAGAGTAGCTCCCTGGAGTGTCATGCCTGGCTTGAACGCTAGAAGGAGATAAAAGCACACTGAATGTGTGCTGCTCAAGCCCAGATTTTGGGAGGGGACTGCAGCTCACCTGCCAGGGCTATGGCTTTCATCTCAGAGGGCTCGCTGGGGTTGCGCTGCAGTTTGCGCTTGGACACAGAGGAGGATTTGCCCAGGTTGAAGAAGGATCTCCAGCTGCCCACTGGAGACTTCTTCATCTTGCTGGGAGGCCTTTTTCTGGGGGAGCAAACAGAGCACACAGTTGGAGATGGAAGCTGCATCTAAATCCTGCTACTGGTTGCTTGTTATCAGTACTCTCTGGTTTCTGCTTAGAAACTCCCTCTTCTCAACAGCTGAGGGTGTTTTCATTCCTACAGCTCAGCTCCGCAGCCTTGCTGGGTGAATTCCACCCAACTCGGGGATGCAGGTGCAGTGCAGGGGAGCAAAGGCTCCTGCCTGTGCAGCACAGCAGCTGAGGGATGGATTTCCAGCTCTCTGGGGAGCTGTGCGGCCATAAAGGCACCCAAAAAGGGTACCCAAAAAGGTACCTCACTCGTGCTGTAAAATCACCTTCACCTCCTCCCACTGCCACTTCTAGTGTCATCAAGCCTGTGCAACTGCTCCACTGCAACCTGGAGATGTTACAGGCACTTAGTCCTGAAACCTGAAAAACCCCAATGTCTCCACGTGGTCACTCTGTTTACACCTCCTTCTGTGTGACTGGTACAGTCATCTCTGTGCACCAACACAACATGGATTTATACATTTAATGATAACCCTGCTAGAAAGAAGGGAGTGGTGCACAAGTAAATTAAACCCATGAGCCCATTGTTATGAAAAGCTGAATCCTCACTGAGTCCAAAGCAGGTGGAAAAACAGCTACAATATTTCACATGTGACCAGTCAGTATCAGCAAGTTTTTGCTGTAATCAAAACAAACCAGTTACGACACGTGCTGGGAAGAAACTTGTCCCTACCTTTCGGACGGGAAGTCTATGACTGTGTGGAATTTGCCCTGCAAAGCTGCTGGGCCCTCTCCCACTTCTATGTATTTGCTGTCTGCCACGATGGGTGAGTTGATCTGGGCCTGTGTCCGAGCCTGTGCCTCCTCCAGCGTGAGCAGCTTCGTGGAGGGAGAGGACACCAGCAGAGACTTGGGCCGGGACAAAGAGCTGTGCCCTGCAAGGGAAAAACCACAGGCAAGAGGGAGAGTCAGAAAACAGCAGTGCAGAGATCAAAGCTCAGTCTGTGTGCCTAGGGAGGTGCTGTGTTTTTCTAAACCTTTGTTATCCCAACCACTGAAAGGCGTGGACAGAGATATGTTTGTGACAAAAAGAATCTCTCACTGAGTAGCTTGGTGTATTAAAAAATAAAGGCAGAGGGAAGCAGGTAGATCAGAAACCTTTGTGACATACTTTACTTCAGCTTCATCTGTATAGAAAAGCCTGCACAGAAAATGATGGTTTTCCTTTGTACAAAGCTTGGCTGGGTCATTCCCAGGTTCCACCTCTTGTATAACAGGAAATGCCATGTGTGACCAAAGTTCTACAAACCACTGTGCAGATGCACAGAGCAAACAATCTGCTCTGTGTCCTGCCCTTGGCCTTTTACAGCTTGGGCTGGTTTGGGAGATGAACACATAAAGTTCTGTGCAAGTAGTTGCTGTTGCCTCCTGCTGCTGTCAGCTTCAGCATAGGGAGATCACAGCAGCTGTCCTTTGCTTGCCATTGTTTATTGTGCAAGTGTTTACAGGGTTGCTCCCAGAGGAGTTCAGGGGTGTGGGGGGAATGTGCCATCGCAGAACATCCTGGTTGGTTCCACCCCTGGGGCTCCTGGGGTGTGTGTGAGCTGTAAATGCTGTCCTGGATGAACTGTGGGTTAAAACAGGCTTGGCAGCACCACTTTCACCCCTCACAGGTGGGTGCAGGAGCTGTGCTCGATCCCAGAGGCTCCTGAAGCCGTGCTGAGTGCAGTATTCCTGCTAAATATGCCAAATAACCCAACCCTTGTCCCTGCCAGTTTTGTGTCCAAGCCCACTGAATGTGAGTGACTAAGTCATTAAACAATTAGCTGAATTTACATGGTCCATTCTAAGCCTGGATAATCATCTGGCTGGGATTCTGAGCATGCTTATCTTCCCCTGGCAGAGCCTGCTGGGGGCTGTCACTGCTCAGCCAAACTAACCTCTGGCTCCTGCTGACCTAGAATCTCCTTCCAGGAGGAACAAAAAGCTGGACAACTCTGCTGTCCTAAGTAGAAATATTGGTTGTTTAAAAGAGGGGAGGAGCAAATCCAGTGGAAAAGCAGCTCTCTGCACTGCCCAGGGGGTGGTGACTGCGTGGGCTGTGCGTGTCTCATGGGCAGGGCAGGTTGTCAAGGCAGATGGTGCACCCTTAATGCTGCTTAGGAGCAGCAACAGCTTGTGGTGGCCCTGTTTGTTGATCTAACACACAGAGGAAACCTCCTTCCTGGTGTAACTCTGCTCCTTGGTCTCTTCTCCCAGGCAACCAACAATAGGACAAGGGGACATGGGCTCAAGCTCTGCCAGGGGAGGTTTAGGTTAGATGTTAGGAAGAAATTCTTTACAGAGAGGGTTATCAGGCATTGGAATGGCCTACCCAGAGAGGTGGTGGATTCACCATCCCTGGAGGTTTTTAAAAGGAGATTGGACGTGGCCCTTAGTGCCATGATATAGTAATTGGAGTTGGTTCAGGGGTTGGACTTGATGATCTTGGAGGTCTTTTCCAACGCAACCTATTCTATGATTCTATGATTCCTTTTCCATGGAACAGCGATATGGTCTTAGTTACTCAAGGGAACTGTAGGTTCCAGGGCTGAATGTTTGAGGTGCCCCAGGGTTGGGCACAAACGTTTTGCAGTTCATGGCTGGTCAGCCCTGCTCATGAACCCACACAGGCTGTGCTTCTGCAAGGAATAACCAGCACAGCAGATGGCAAAATAGCCCCTAGTAAGAGCAAGACAGTTTCTTAGCATCAACATCACTGAATACAGAGAGCTTGCTTTAATTCCTTAATTTCTACTGGTGTTCTGAGGTCCATGGATAAATGTAGAGAGCTCAAATGGATAAGTATGCAGGAGCATCGATGGTGGTGGCTTTAAAAAGCAGAGGGAGCGGGGGGGGACAGATGAAGGGACGAAGAGGAAGATGAGGAAGAAGGGGTCCCCGAGCCCCCCATCTCAATTTCCAGAGGGGTATGCCAGGGGGAGGATCTGGGGGGCGGATGGGATAATACCTTAAATTGTGGAACCCCCTGGACACGTGTGCATGTCTCTGTGCCCCGGTGGTGGTTGAAGGCCTTCTATTAAAACTGCTCTATTCTCTTACCTCTACAATAATTGCCTGGTGAGTAATTTTTTGGCTCCCGACCAATTTTTTGGTCACAGTTTTCAGGCAACAGTTTTTTGATTCCTTGCGATTTCTCAGTGGTAGGACACAAAAGCAGCAGCCAAACATTACTCTGTGCACTCCTGCGGGGTGTCCTTGGCTTCTAGGAAAGGGACTGACAGCAATTTCTAAAACTAGGCCATATTCGTTGGGTTCTGACATCACAACCTGGGAAATGTGGAGATGTGTCCTCTAGGTCAGGAAAAACCCATATTTGAAATGTGCAGGGGAGGCTCAGGTATCCAGAGTGCCTTGTGTGCTCCAGGGGAGGGAGGGAGGGGGACACGCACCTGCCCCGTCCCGGATGACTGAGCTGAGCTTGGAGCTGAACAGAACATCCACGTGGTTCAGGATGAACTCCACCACCACCGACTGGATCCGCACCTCCATGAAGGCAGCAGTGCCACTGAAACAGGCTGACTCGATCTGCTTGGACCTGGGAAAGGAGAGACATGAAACAGGGACAGCCAGGGGGTGATGCTGCTCCTGGACAAGGGGCTGTGCCTGTGCTCAGGCAGACGAGGCTGCAGGGGCAGGTATGGATTAAATCCCAGCACAGTGCTACACAAAGGATCACACTGACTGCAGGGATTTAAAGGCACAGTCTTGGTTTAGCTTCAAGTCTTACTAAATGGCAAGAGGAAAGCTGGACTAGAAGGGAAAAGGGCAGGTCTGGCTCAAGGTAAATAATTTGAACAGCCCAAATGGGGAGCTTTCTGTTAACTGCCAGGTACCATGGCTAGCACAGTTCAATGCCATTGCACAAACCTCACTGTGGCCTCTAATGGGATTTTCCCCCGAGCAGGGAAATGTCTCCAACTGATCTGATCAGAGAGTGCCCCAAGATTCACCAAAGCAATCTCAGACCTGAGATCACTCGACTGCCTGGGGGTGAATTGCCAGAAAGGGGAGAACAGCTCACCTGCATGAACTGCAAGTGTTCAATGCCACGTTGGACAGGGCTTGGAGCAACCTGGGCTAGTGGAAGGTGTCCCTGCCCATGGCAGGGGGTGAGACTGGATGAGCTTTAAGGTCCCTCCCAACCCAAACTGGGATTTTATGTGAACTGTACACTCAGATTTCCCAGGTTGGTAACAAAAGCAGCTCAGAAATCAATAGAATAGAGAGCAGGGTGACATTATTTTTTTCGTTTAAAGCAAAATTTTTAAATAGCACCATTCATTTTAAACTACCCTATTATGCACATTCAAAACAAATTTTAGGGGACAGATTTATCCAAGATTATTTCTGTAAGTTTGAATTCTTGCAGCCACAAGCTGTTAAATTAGACTCTAGAGACTTCTGCAGTGGGAAATCAGTGATGCCACTGAAGAAATTTCCTAGGACACACTCATCCAACCAGGAGAGCGGAAATTATCCTCTAGAGAAGAGGGTTGAGGGAATTCTTCCTTGCCACTACTGACTGAGCTGCAGTCAGTGGGACTGGGTTGTGTGAGACAGAATATACCAGGATGTTTTTGGGGTGGTCCCACTGACAACAGTGGGGGCTGTTTTACATCACTAGCTCAGGAACGTGCCAGTTGGGTCTTAAATCCTGCTTAGAGTATTTTCCCATATTTTACAGAAGAAGCACACTGGATGAAGAAAGGAAGAGCTCTTTCCAGCTGCTGGAAGTCAGGATTTTCCAGAGAAGACCTATCTGTCTGGCTTTTATAAACATAAAGCCTTCTCTGTAGTGAAATGGGAAAAGCCCAGGGTACCTGAGGAGGTTGGGAGCCCAGACAATGGCCAGGTTCTTGGTGTGCATGTTTGTGATGGAGCAGTAATCAGCCAGACGAGCCAAGTGCCTCATTAGGAACTCCAGTGTCCTGGAAAACGGGAGAGAGGCAAATGTTCAGCACCACTGAGCAAAGCCAGGCTGTGATCCCAGAGCAAACCCAGCTCATTATTTCCTTTTGGTTTGACAGCTCCCAGAAAGAAACGCTGAACTCCTTCCCCTGAGCCCATGGGGAGTGTCTGCAGCAAATAATGACCCGGGGTGGGCTGAGGGGAGTCCCTCCTGATCTGTCCAGGCTCAAGGCAATGACAGTCCCCAAAATATCCTCTTTGCAGGCGTGTGACAGCCCTGAGGAGCTGCTCAGGGGGAAGGATGTGGAATGCCAGTCCTGGGAAGACAGGGAGTAGTGATTTAGACACCCCAGGACACTGAAAACCAGCAAAATGTCCCTGAGTTCTACTGATGAAGTTACTGGCTGCAGGTTTGTTAGAGGTCCATGAGGCAGACACAAGGTTAAACTCCAGAGGCTTGTGTTCACGGAAAATGCCTTTTTATATATTAATGAAACACTGTTGTACCCCCTGTGGAGGAGGGAGCAGGAGGTGGCAATGAAAATGCTGATCCATCCTCCTCAGTGCCAGGGCTTGGCAACAGCCCTGGCTGTGTCTGTATCTCTGGTTTTGGGAGGGGAGACGGAGCAGAGGGGCTCAAAATTCCACAAATGGACAAGGACTGGAAGTGAAGACAGATGGGTCTGGCTGGGAACAAAGCTGACATCTCCTGCCTGCAACTTCTCATCGCTGAGCAGCACAATAAGAAAGTGTTTTTTCCTTTTCTGAAGCAAACTGAGGAAAGGAGGGAAGAACTCTGTGCACCTCCAGCATCCCACTGCCAGGGCTTGGCTGGGCTTCCTCCCCAGGACTGAGACGTGGATCAGCACCCACTTTATCCAGCCCATAAAGGAAAAGTCATTTTAGGGAAAAGGTGGAATGCCCCAGAGAAACTGAACCAAAGGAGATTAGTTTATTTTTGAGAAGGCCCTGCCCCCTTAATTAACACAAATAAAATATTGTAATTAGTTACTAAAAGTACCAGCTGTTCCACTAACTAGCCCATGTTATTTGATGAGCAAGTAGCACACAGTTGCAGCTTATAACTATTACTTAAATCCTAGTTAACCATTATAATTAGTTATTTATAGCACTCAGGTGCAGCATTGCAGTTGTCCAGCTAATCACCATATATCACAAGAATTGAAATGTAAATATTTATTAGCACCAATTATTATATAAATTTATAATTATTTATTATTTTAAATAGTTCTCAATACCTATTTTTATGTGTTACAACTGGCCATCTATAGCACTGAGGGTACAGAATTCTAACTAGTCCTGCAAATTAACATATATTACAACAATCAATTGTAATTATAATGCAGTATTAGTTACCAATAGTTACTAACATTAAAGTCTCATTAACATACAGTATTATATGCAGTTATTAAAATCAATCACCATAGCAATTTGTCTGATGCCTTTTTACCATACCCTGCCACAAATTTTAATACTGAAGACTGTTAAAATGTTGTTATTCTTAGTCAAGACTCATTACCATACAGCACAAATTGCTATTAATACTAATTAGTTTGAATATAGCACTGTAACTGGTGATTTTTAAACACCCTATTATGTTATTCTAATATATAACACTAATATAATAATTTACATTAGTTATTCTAACAGATAACTGTTACTATTTGCTAGTTACTGTTTTTACTGGGAGAGGGAAATTGGAGACAAAATATGTTTATTTTTGGAAATATTTCACTTTTTTAAAGTATCATTCCTAGAGCTGGTTTTGTGCTCTCCCAGCAATAAAACTATTTTTTTTTATCAGCCACCTCTGACATACCAAGGTTGTATTTCTCTCCTGTACAGACCTTCCAAGGAAGTCAAGTAAGACCATGTACAGAATGTAGTGTTTGATAAGGAGCTGATTAAAATAGAAAATCAACTTTATACAGCAGTTTCAATATGCAGAAACACATCTTGAGAGGGAAACTGGAATCCTGTCATTTCTGTCCCAAAATTCCAGCAAAGGAATGGCCCTCACCTGTAGTGGGGAGGGGGCAGCTGCTGGATCACATCGTGGATCTTCACCAGCCTCTCCTCATCCGTAGCAGCAGACACAGCATCCTGGAACAAGGCAGGGAGGGACTGAGCCGCAAGGAAAGCTGAAAACCTGCCCCTGGCACCACTTGGCCAGTGAACAGTCCTTCAGCAGTGAGGTGGATTTTGCTGCTCTCCCTCCCTTGGGTGAGGGGTCTGTCCTGGGGACAGAGCAGCACATGGATCATGTGAGGAAGGCCAAGGAAATCACGGTCTGAGACACTTTAGAGCTTCACTGTACAGAGCAATTCCTTGCAGAGGGAGTGCAGCTCCAAGCACTGTTTGCTTCTAATCTCAAGAAATCACTGGGAACAGCAAAGCATCAGGAATTCAGGGCTGGGGTCCCCCAGTGACGTTCTGCTGGGGAAGGAGAATCAATACTGTGGCACAGGGGACAAAGGCACTTGTGAGTGACCTAAGGGGGAACAGGAAAGGCACCTCAAACTCTGGGCACTTCCTTCTGGAATGGCAGGAGGGGAATCTGGTGTGTGGGCAGCACAGACCAGGTGCTGTCAGGCTGGTGATTTTGGAGATGTGCTCTTCAGATTGCCCTAAAAACCTTAAATTAAGCAAAAGTAAACAGAGGAAGGTGTGTGGAAGCAGGTTCACCTTGCTGTGGGTCCTTTCAGTGTTCCTCTGAAGTCCCACTGGGGTGGGAAGTGGCTCCCATTTGTCTCATACTTACTGAGAACTTCTCGTAGAGCTGGTAGGTGAGCAGGGGGTTGGGGAGCTCTCGGAAGTACAGCTTGCACAGGGAGCCCACACAGTGGATGTCCTGGATGTAAATGTCCTTGGTCAGGTCGGGAATCTGCTCTGAGTCGAACTCGTGGCTGGAAACAAGAAATGGGTCAAGGGGTTTGAGAAGGAGCAATGAAATCAAACCCAGCAAATTACAGTCAAGCAAAGCAAGGGTTTCCCGATTTACAGGAAAAAATAAAGCCTTAGTCACCAAAGCCACGTGACCCACGGCTTTGGGGTTGCTACAGGGGATTTTTCCAAAAATCAGACTTTATTTTTTTCTAATAAGGCATTTTCAGTGAGTTTTACAACCAATTGGCTGCAACCCCTTTTGCTGCATCAGGGCTTTTCACAAAGGCTTCAGAGAAAGCCTTCCAAGACCACAAGGACAATCTGTTAAACTCCCAAGGGCTGTGCCTGGGATTGCCCACAGGTCTGATGAAAGCTGTCCCTCCGCATTTCAAAGGCCTGGGAATTGCAATGATCAAGCCACGCCAGCAGCAGTGCCATGGGCAGCACATGGAAAACAGCATGTGCAGAATTCCTGGGGGACAAACTGGTGAGCTGAGCCTGCCTCTGCCACGGGGTGAGGAGAGCCAGGAACCACATGAAGAACATCCCTGAGCACTCCCTTGGTTTTCAGAGAGAGGGAAAAAAAACAAAATCACAACCATTTATGAAATAAAAGCTGAGCTCAGAAGGCCAAGGGCTGGAATATGTGCATGGAAAGTGCTGTTTCCAATTAGGCCAGATCTGCAGGGATGAGTGTGGTGAGTCAGGCCTGGGAGCTGGGGGAGCTCGGCTGGTCCTGCTGGACCTCGGGGTCCCTGCGAGGGTCTTCAGGATCAGAAGGGCTGATCCTGCCTGCACTGCACCCACAGCTGTGTCTGGGCTTGGTGCAAACACCCCTGGCCTCTTCTCCACCAAAGCAGGCAGTTTGTGACCCCAAGGGTGACACAGCCCCTCAGCACAGCTCCAGCACTGAGCCTGCCCTGCCCACGGAGCAGAACCTGCCTGTCCCCGTGCCCAGGGCACCAGGAGTGCTGGGAACTGATTCCTCAGCATCAGGACGAGCTCCTTCCATCCCTAGACATGGACACTGTGTGTGGGAAGCCCTCACTCTGCCAGGCTGAGGGGAAGGAGAGGGTGAACAGTCCCCCCCTGCTCAGGCCTCATCCCCAAGGCAGCACAGAAGGGAAGGAAGGTCCCTGCCTTGCCCACTGACACTGCCTTCTCCCCTGGAGCTACAGCCCCTGGTGTCCAGCACACACCACACCACAGGCACTGAGTCACCCCTTCCTCACACCTGGGACAGAAACTTCTGCCCTGCACTTGGCTCAGAAGGGAGGGCAGGGACGGCCCCAGCCCACCCCTACAAGCACACTCAAATGTGTGGCTCAAATCCTCTGCCCATATCCTGCCCTACTCCAGGATATTTTTCTAGGAATAAATCCCACACCATGTCAGATGTGAGTATGGAGTGAAGAGAAGCCCCTCTACATCCAACCTTTCCCCTCTCTGTACTGGCTGTTTCAAGGACTACACGTTATTTCTTCTGACCCTAAAGGAAGATTTTGTTAGTAGGACACAACTCCACATCTCCCAGGATACAGAGATGAAGAAGACCCCAAATCAACCCTGGCTCTGTTTGCCCCCCTGCCCCACAGAGGTAGCTCCTGCCCTGCTGAAGAGCCAACCCCTGTCCCATGAGAATCTCCCACGTGGAATCAATTCTCTTTGTCTCCAACCAAAAAGCCCTTTAAATCCAGGAGATCCAACTCTTCTGTGTGAAACCTTAGCACAGTGATTCATTTATAAGGACACTGCAGCTCTAGCTCTGAAATAAGCCCAATGCCCTGTTTATACAGCTGGGAACTAAAGCAACACAGTGAGTCCTGCCTTAATCAAACACTGGAAATCCGCAGTGATTTAGATGAACAGGGGCAGTGTCAATAAATGCCAAGTAGTCCCTTCCTTTTGTCTTTGGAACATCTCGGAAAACTGGAAAACAGGTTGTCACTTCAGTCTCTGCACTGTACCAGGGAATGAAGCCATTGAAGTCTTAGAAAACCATTTTTAAATGGTTTAAATCCCACCTTTGATACACAGTGAAGGAGAAAATGGTATTGGCAACAAAAAGGGGAAAAATGGACTAAGGTAGAGATTAGGATGGTCCAGCACAAGTCAAAATGGGGAATTAAAGGGATGTGACTGAAGTAATGGCAAATGTTTTATTCAGCCAGGACTGCTGTGGGCCACATAAAATCCCCTCAGGAGCATTCTTTAAATGAGACTTGCTGCAATGAGAAACAGGATTAATCTGAACCAGAATAAACCCATCCATCCAGGGGTTTGTACAGTCACTGTCCCAGCTCCAACCTGCCCACTGAGCTGGGGAAGAGCTGGTTCAAAAAGGATATTCTGCATATGGAAAATCCCCCTGTGCTGCCTCTGTCAGGATCAGTGCTGGAATTAGTCACATTCCACTTGGCACTCTCAGTCCCTCCACAACAGAACATTCCACACCAAACGGCAGGAGGAAAAACTGCCTCACAAAGGGACAAAGAGAGTTTACTGTGATGGGAACAGCTCCTAACCTGGAGGACACACACCTGGCCTCTCCCTGCACAGCACATCAATGCCACCCCAAGGATCAGGCACGTTTCCTCTGCACATTCCCAAATAACTGCTAATCAACCAGGAGTCCAAGGCAGCACAGGGAGCGAGCAAAGGGCTCCAGGAGCGAGAAGGAACAGGAATGAAACACAACAGCACAGGGACACCATGATCCTGATATTTCATTCTGAAGGGAAGCTTCCTGCAAAGGGAGTGTGCTCCTGGAAGCACAGCCTGGGCCCTGCCCAGCACTCAGGTGTCCCCCCAGCCCTTACCGGAGTTTCTGGATGTTGGAGGCGATCCCGGACAGGCGGTAGATCCCATCCACGATGCCGTGCTTCTCAATGAACTCCGTGCAGCTCTTGAGCACCTGGGGGACTGAAGGACAGGAGCTGGTGGTTAATTGAGCAGGTTATTAAAGTCCCGTTCAGGCTGTGGTCTTGCCAGGTGTCATAAACCACCCCCAGCTGGGCCATGGGTTTACTTCTTCCTTAGAGGAGAAAGCCTGTAAGAAATTTTACTTCAGGAGCTGGTGTGGAAACTGGTCAGAGGTGTTTATTTTAATAAAGCAATGCCAGGACACAAATCAGATTGAAAAAAGTCAATTCTGCTCGAGCAGAGACAGCACAGGTCCCATCACTATTCCCATGGTGTTAAATACCATCCAAGAAGAGCTATAAAATTGAATAAATACTGTCTTTAAAATCTATACAGGATTAACCTCAACTGCTTGGTTTCAGCAAACATAAACATCAGGGAGATGCTACGTCTGGCACCACAGCCAGGAGAGTCTTTACAACTGATAATTTCCTTCCCAGTGTGTGCTGGAGCATGGCTGCAGAGAGCTCCATAATATCCTACACTCACAGAAAGTGCAGACAGAGCAGGGCATGACAGACTGGAAAAATCAGCCCAGAGGACATAATTAGGTGCCAAGTTAATATTCCAGCCGCTTCACCAACTGATTCCTTCCAGCTGGCTTCCCAGCCTCATGCACAGCCACTGCTGGAGCTGTGTGTCCATCCCTGGGAGCTTAAGGAGGAGCAAATCACTGGATTTATAAAAGAGAGATAAAACTGTCCTGAACACAGAGAGAAAATCAGGAGAGAGCTCTTGTGAGCATTGGCAAATCCTCACGGAGAGAGCTGGGATCCCTGGGCATCCTGTGCCAGCCACCTTTCAGCCACAGCTCCTCTGCTGATGTAGATTTACTCGTACATGAGATGCCAGGTCTGATCAATTCTCCCTGTGACACACATTCTGAATAGGTCATGTGGCAAATCCCCTCAGATCAGGCAGCAAATGCCATCTGCCATCAGCTCTGCCCACTGCTGCTGCACGGGGGGCTGCAGCTCCCCCAGCCCCTTCCCTGCTGCCCTGCCAGCAGAAACCCTCCCAGCTGGAGAACAGACTCCTCTGAGGGGGTTCCCTGGAAATCAGCAGGTGTATCCCGGGATAAGGGCACGTCTGCCCTCGAGCACAGGAGGGACTGAACCCTGTAAATCCTGTCAGTCACACAGGCTCAGCTGGAGCAGATTAGGCCCTGGACCTGGGATATTCCAAGACACCAAGAGACAGCCAGAACCAACGAGTCAGGCTCTAGGGTTACATTCCCAGGCACTTACAGCATCTCCCACTATTTTCCAAAGCCAGGTGCACACTCTGGGGCAAGCAGAGCCCTTGTACTTTAAGCAAAGAGCTTTGGAAACCAAGGGCTGCTTGTTTCGAGAAGGAAAACCACGTTCTGCTGTCCCTGTAGGTACAAGGAAATGTCAGAAGACAGAACCTTTGCACTGCTTGGCCCTGAGTAGGACCACAGCTGCTGGCGTTTCCAACTGCCTGGATGCAGGAGTCCCACAGGACTGGGCAAAGGAGTTCCCCCAAGTTTTCAACTGTTGTGACAAGATCTGCTAACGCTGCAAATCCCAAAGACCACAGTGGTCCATACTGGAACCTCAGTAGGGGTCTCCCTGAAATTAGTAGAACACATTGAAATAAATAAATAAAGAAGAAATAAATAAATAGGCAAATAAATCAAGAAGTAAATAAACCAAGAAGCAAATTAAAAAAACAAAAGCAGGAAATAAATGAATAGCACATTCCCTGCCTGCCCAAGTTCCCAGCAGGAAAGGGCAACACTCACACACATGACCAGCTCTCCTGTGTACCTGCCCACCATGGGCACAGCTGAACACCTGCCTGTGCTTCCTGAAGGAAGGCCTGGCCACAGGAGTGAGCTCTGTGTGTGCCCAACTCCCCTTCCTGGAGTTTATCCAGCTGTGCCAACACACAGCACAGGACTACAGCACTTATGGAGCAGCTCAGCCCAGCAGCAACCTGGGGTGATGGTGTAGAGCAGGACAGGAGGGGAGGGCTGGAGCACCAGTACCCTCCCTAAAGTACTCTTTTGTCAGGGAGGAGCCTGGGCACAGTTAGAATAACTAGTATATCCAGAAAAAATCCCAGCAGGCTTGTTCCCAGCATCTCCTGATCTGGTTACCAGGACGATGTATTCTCTAAACTAAATATATCATGGATATTCTGGGGGAATTCTGCACAGTGGGAGAAGGGACTGAGATCCAAGGAGGGCTGTAATTGCACCTGAGGGCCCTTTGCTGGGGTGGTGACTTGGTTTTTCAGATTTTTAAACAAAGCTGACACCTGACAATTGGATGTGTGTTTAACATCCCTCTGCCCTTTGAATCCCAAGCCCTTTAGCTAAATACACATTTTTATAGATGGATATATACACATATGGAGGCAGGATGACAGAACAAGCTAAGACTTAATTTTGTGAATGTCAGGTGTGCCAAGACCATCCCCTACAGCAGCTGGGACTGGTTTGTTTGAGTCCCTGTCTCCATCTGCTCCATAAATCCCTGCCCTGCTGCAGGGGAACTCCTCAGCATTCAGGAGCTGAGTTTGGCTCCTAGATCCCAGACCATGTCCCAGATTGGAGCCAGAGAGGGATCACAGCAGGGAACCGAGGGAGATTTCCTCTTCTAGGATGTAGTAACAGCAACACTGCAGTTCTATTAATGTCAGTAAATTACTGTGGTTTCCTGCAATTAGAGCACCCAGACTGATGACACACGTGGCCTCATTAACAGCCACAAAGCCCCCCCAGCTCAGCACCTGGGTCCTGACAACCACTTTGGGAAAGGGATGAGGAGGGAACAGGGTAACACTCAGTTCTTCCTCCAGCTCCATGTGCTCAGGGAACCCCTGAGCCCAGCACTGGTGCCTGTGGTTACCCAGCCCAGTTCACAGTCTGCAGTGCCACCTTCCCAGGCAGGCAACAAAAACCTCTGATCCTCAGGGTGGTTTTATTCCTTTGCTGAGCCACGGGGTCTTCAGCCACTGGCTCCAGAAAACCTCCCTGCAGTGAAGTCACTGAGTGCAGATGGCTAAAATCCACTGCCAGTGCTGCCTTTGAACACCCACCTCTTCAGTGGAGCACTGGACATGTGTCCCATCCCAAAATCAATCACCTTTCCCTCCTTCCCTCTCTTTGCTGTCTCCAATATCAGGCAGTTTCAGGAAGCAAAGTGCAAAAGGCTCACCCCGAAGGGGACCCAGCACATCTCATCACCACAGCAGCTGAAGGAATTCATTCAACTCATTCCTGAGTATCTCTCAGCTGCTTTGAAAGCTTTATTGCATCTCTGAGGGCTCGTTAACTGGTTAATTCTCTGCCATTAAGAGGAAGCAGTTTTATGGGCTTCACTCTGAAGAACGTTTTGATTCATCCCCAAATCAGGCCCATTTCCTTTCCTGTCATCTTGGGCTTATTTTTTTCCTTCTGAATCTTTTGTAATGTTCCCTCCCTGGGTTTTGGGAGGCTTGCTGGTGCTTTGTTTTATTTTCTTAGCACGTGAATCAGAACTATTTGTTCAGCCTGGGGCAGAGGCCTCCCACCAAGCTCTCCAGGGACACTGTGCTTTTCCCAACCCCGCCTCTGGGCTGGGTAATGGCCCATAGCACCCGAAATGCTGCTCCTCAGCTGAATTCCACACATAGCAAACCCACACAGGGATCCAAACCTCCAGGAACATGGAAAACCACTGCTCTGCACCACCTGAGCAGAGGGGATAACTGTGACTGAGTGCCAGGAGGTTGGGAAGCTTATGGAAAATCCAGAACTGAGCAATAGGTTGTTTTGAGCCACAAGAATAGAAACTGAAACCATCAGCCATCAGATAAAATTCAGGTGGAGGCAGCTCACTCTCTTGGTTGCCCAGGATGTCCTTGGATCAGCCAGGAAGGACAGGTAAGGACAGGACAGGCAGGGGATGAAGCACCCCAAGAACACCCAGCACAACACAAGTGGTGCCACTGAAGCCTGGACGTGCCCCTTCCTCAAAACTCAGTGCCCAGCTGAGACCCTGACAACTTCCAGACATCTGAAATTAGGCACATAAATCCCAACTCCCTTGCCATTAATGCAGGATTACATAAAAACCTAACAGTGAATATCCTCACCCAAAGAAATACAGATGCTTTTACCCCCAAAATCTTCCTATTTTAGCTCAACTTTAGAAGTGTTAAGGTCGGAAAAGACCTCTAAGATCATCAAGTCCACTTTGCAAAAAACTGCCCAAGTATTTCCTTATAAAAAAACCCAGTAAAAAACCTGTAATATTTCAGCCTGTAACTTGTTCCAGGAACCTCATTTCAAACTGCTCATGTCTGAAGCTCTTCCCTCCCCTCAGAGTGGAGGTTACAGGCAGGTGTAAAAACAACAGCACGGGACAAAGATTAAGGATTTTATTTTTATTGTTCCCAACCACACAACTGCACCTGCATGTGGTACTTCACAGGCATCAGCCCTGCATATTCAGAAAAACATGGAGCTTCAAAAGATTCTCTTCTCAGGACTTTTGTCCCACTTCTAAATCCCTGCCCTGATGTTTGAATCACCAGGAACAAGACAGAAATACAAAACCAACCAAGGATCCACCTTCCTTCAAGATGCTCAGGGTGTTCAGGGCCAGGTTGGATGGGGCTTGGAAGGTGTCCCTGCCCATGGTAGGGGGTGGGATGAGATGATCTTTAAGGTCCCTTCCAACACAAACCTGTCTGGGATTCCATGATTCTTGGATTCTCCCTCACTTCCAAGAACTGACCCACGTTATTACTCCCACTTGTGTAAAATCCAAGCCCTCTGTCATGAGCTGCCCCATTTCCTGGTCATACACACTGATTTTTTTCTGGACTTATGCACTTGGGAAAGGGCAATCCTGGAAGAGGGAACTGTAACCCATGAGCTGGACCCGCGAGCAGATCCAGACACAGCTGGAATCAGCACTGGACTCTGCTTTGCCAGCCTGGACTTTTCTTTTATGGCAGCTCAGCCAGGGCTGGGTGAAAGCAAAGTG